TTACATCACATCTCACGATAACTTGATCCATCCTTAACTTGACCCAACCCAATGATAATTTCCAAGTTAAAGACACAATATAGTTATAAATTACATCGATAACTTGATTCATCATTAACTTGACCCAACCCAAAGATAATATCCAGGGTTAGAGACACAATTTTAATTAGATTTTACTTTCTAGAAATTTTTAACTTGCTTCATATGAAAATTACTAGGACAAGGAAAATGTAGAAGTCATGGTACAAAGTTGATTGTTATGTAGACAAATAGTTACAATTATAGGAAAAAGTTAAATAGTATGAAGTTTATAAAAGTTGAGGGGGTAAGTTGATACTTTTTATAATTATATGAATATCTACTCATCAAACAGAGCCGGAATCTTTTATCGGTTCTTATTTCACAGAAATACACATAGGAGGGTTAATCGAATCCATGGGCTCGTTTCCTCTCGCAAATTCTGAATCCAACGGAATCGTCATCACGAAATCGCAAATCCTAATTCGATTGCTTCTCTAGTCGATCGAGGAAAGCGCAATCGATAGAAGTCGAGAGGTGGAGATTTTAGGGCTGCGAAAGCTTAATGATGTGATCGACATCATCGTGAGGCAATCGGCTTCGGATTGGCTCCGCCACCTGCGTGAATATCACGGCAGCTTCGAATATCTGTAAGTCTATGTTTTGGCTATGAATTATGTTGGATATGACCATAGTAATTTGCACTCGAAGTCTTAAACACTATCGATTTTTCCCCTTTCTTCCTGTTCGTATCAAATTGAGAACTGTAAGGTTGAATTCATTATAGTAGTACGTTTAGATTACGATTAATCACCTCTTCATTCTCTTTCACTTGGTTCTTTTTTGATTCATTCATATAAATGCTCAGTTTGTTATTTAGGCACACCAATCCTCATGAGAGCCAAATACGCGACAACCCGATATAACACCAGCATCAGTGCCAAAGCCACAACCGAGAGCACTTGCCCATCAAGCCCAACGCTCTTAATAGCCGGAAAATCCTCAACCAAACAAGTCAGGTTACCACATTTGTAAGTCTGCCCATGCTCATATTGTGAAGCTATCAACAACTTGTAAGTATGTTGGCTGATGGATATGTATTTGATCCAAGATATGAAATCAGGCACATGTTGAACATAGTATCCACCTGCTAGTGTGAATGATAACATGATCACAGATCCCATAATGGTGGCTGATTTTTGGTTCATAACTAGTGCTCCTACCGCGAGCCCTAGCCCTTGTGATGCCAACACGCTAAAAAGAAGTGTAAACAATGCGTACAAGAAACTTCCAAAATCTGATTTGAGCCCAGCCATCCAGTAGGTTATGATGCAAAACAATGTGGGTAGAACTAACTCCATAGGAAGATCTCCTATTGTTCTTGATATAAAATAAGATGAAAGTCTATACATTCCTGAAGATCGTTCTTTTCCTAGCATTTGCCTTTCTTGAGGGAATGTGAAAATTGCTTGAAATAAAGGAAAGAACCCCCAGAATCCAGTGTAAAAGAATAGCAATCCAGACTGCATAGTTTTCGATTAAGAACCTGTTAGATTATTATTATTATTTATAAGTTAAAGTGATGACAAAAAAGAGTGTATATATTTATACCTGATCTTGTAAGTGAGCCTTATCAGATTGCCACCATAGCAAACCACAAAGGAATGACACAGCTATAACCTGACCGATCTTGAGGGTGGAAAAGAATTCGTGTTTCCGTTCTTTAACACCTCGTTTGAGTAAAATCATGACTTGTTGCAACCATGTCGTGCTCCATCGTTCATGCTTCTTGTTGTGTAAAACATCATTCTCATCATCATTGAATTCTACTACTTCAGCTTTTAAATTCTCATCAAGATTCGACTTATAAGCCAAAACCAACTTCTGCTTCACCGCATTTTGATCCCCATAACTTGAATTATCCGGCGATATCCCTAAAATATTAACAACATTTGTAGTAACTATGCAAATTCTTTAAAGAAAAAGGTAATGTGTATGTTCAACACCAACGGTCAAGGGACAGTTCTGTGTTCAGAACTTGAAAAGTTCAAGTTCTGAACCTGAACTGAAATGCCATGCCAGGTTGGCAGGTTGCTGCTAGCAACCTGCCAGAACCTGGTTCTCTCTGTTGGACTCTTATCCTAGGGTTGTAATGAAACAATACTTTCAATTTTTATACCATTTGCAAGATCTAGCAAAAAGTCGGAAGGATTCATGGCGACCGATGGCGAAAATCCAATACTGTTAAAATAATCCATAACTTCCGATCCTTTACCAAAAAACAATGAATTCCCTTCCGATAACAACACCACCTTATGAAACATGTAAAAAAGCCTACTTGAAGGTTGATGAATCGTCATCACAATTGTTCTTCCGCCTCTTGCTAATTCCCATAAAATCAAAACAATCCTTTGAGCAGTTGTTGAATCGAGCCCTGATGTCGGCTCATCCAAGAACAACAAACTAGGGTTTATAAGCATTTCTTGACCGATACTAACTCTTTTTCTCTCTCCACCTGACACCCCTCTTAAATCCGGCCCACCAATGATAATATTCTTGCATCTTGTTAACCTAAGTTGGTCAATCACTGCTTCCGCATGTGTGATCTTTTCTTGAGTTGTGAGCTTTTTAGGCAAGCGGAGTAAGGCGGTGAAAACAAGGGTTTCGGTGACTGTTAAATGAGGGTATAGAATGTCATCTTGAGTGACAAAACCGGTGTACCGCTTCATGATACTTGAGAATGGTTTGCCATTGTAGGTAATGGTCCCGTCTAGCTTGCCACCTAGGCGGCCACCTAATGCAGTTAAAAGGGTAGTTTTTCCACATCCGGATGGCCCTAACATGGCTAACATTTCTCCGGGCAACACCATGCCGGTTATTCCTTTGAGTATCTGTTTCTCTGTAGGCTCGTGGTTTTTCTTTTTCTGTATCCATCCTTGTTTCTTGTTTTTGATGGTGTAAACCACTTCTTCAAACTGTTCAATGCAATAATCGGAATAATAAGTTTATAACATATAAACGCATTTTTTTTGAAAAAAGATGAAAAATGAACCTTTAGTGTAACCGGATGATCGACTTTGTTGAAGATTGATGGAGGGGATGAGGTTTGAGCTGATGATTGACCCTCTATATCTACCATTTGGGTTGCCATTTGAATATTTTTTTCCTAATGCTGATTTACAAATAAAAAAAATGGTATATGTTGTTATTTACATACAAACATACATGTGATTCGTTAATTGTGTGTTGGTGTATATAGTACTTATATAGTAAGTGACCCGAATTAAGGTGAAATAAAAGTCATGCAATAGAGGTGTGCGGGTTTATGGCACATACCCTTGATTTGGTGTAAGAGAATAGAGATGGAGAAGGAAATCATGCAATAGACATGTGCGTTTATGATGTGTTCCCATGTATTTGGGAGGATTTGGTGTGATAGTTTGTGTTGGGTGAAATATTTGTTTGTGTAAACATAATGTTTTGTTGTTTTTATTTAATTCAACAATGTTTTTTTTTCTTTTAAATGACATATTCAGTGTCACGTTTTTGTTATGGTCAAATGTGTAACATTTTATTTGTAACTTGTTTAACGGATTCAAATATGAATGAATAATCTGTTAAGGTAAGTTGCATAAATTGGGAAAAGATAAAAACGAAATACTATTGCATAAATTATTGGTTAACAAAGTGAAAGATTGTTGTGTAAATACTCTTTCTAAAAAAAAAAGATTGTTGTGTAAATAAGTATATAAAAATGGTAAACCGTTTCCATGTCACAAGAACCATCACATTGGGTGTAAATCTAAGAACAAAATTAGCAATACTTTGCCTTTGGGCATGTGAAAGTTTGAACCATGAACCTCCTTTATAGAATTAAAATCATCTCGTCATTTATGTGGTTTTTTTTTTTTTTTTTTGGAATGTAATGTGTTTAGGCTCTGGTTATTGATCTTGTGGATGGTGCTCAAGAAAGAGTTACAAATTCATTGTCATTGCTGATGCCATTCTGATTGATGTTTCAAGCTAGTAAAGTTCATTGCTAAATTTGGTGATTAGTCATTGTTGATTTCTGTTCTTGGTATGCTGTCGTTTTTTGTTTGGATTTCATTGGTATAAATCTCAAATCCTGATAATGGTCTTCTGATGGTGCTTTGTATTAGCTTATTGCCCAGCAGGACTTGCTCTCTCTTTCTTAATTGCATTTACTCCCTACTTTTTGAAATCATGTGATTAAAGAAAATTTCATGTGATTTACAAAACAAAATAAAACTTAAAATAGTAAATGTAGCAAATCTGGTAAAGAAAATTGGACGCTAAGGTTGCGTTTAGTTACGGAAAAATAGTTTTCATTTTCTGTTTTTCGTTTTCCCTTTTCAGTTTTCGTTTTTCGTTTTCATTTTTCATTGGAAAATTTAGAAAACGCGTTTAGTTAAAACTTATTCATTTTTCATTTTCAGTTTTAGAAAAATAGAAAACGCGTTTAGATGTATATATTTCTATCGGTTTTCATTTTTAGAAAACGGTAGCGGTAGTAGGATGGGGATGGGGACAACGATGGGGGGCAGTGGTGGTGTCGATGATGGCGACGGTGGTGGTGGTTGTGGCGGCGGTGGTGGTGGTGATTGCGGCAGCGGTGGTGATGGGGTAGTGGTGGTGGTGATGGTGATGGTAGGTCGGTGATTGTTGTAGTGGTGTTGGGTGTGTGTGTGTATGTGTGTTTATAGGGGTGAGTGTGTGTTTGTGTGTGTGTGGGTGTGTGTGTGTGTGTGTAGGTGTGAGTGGGGGTTGGGGTGGGTTTAGTAAGAAATTATTCATAATTAATCATACAAAACACGATAAGCACAAAAAACACGACAAACACATGTTAATATCATGTTGAAATCTGAACACGAACACAACATGACACGATGTCATGGTTTATGCTTGACACTAACACGAATTCGAAACTTAATTTCGTTCCAATTTTGTTTTGTGTCGTGCCATGGATAGCCACTTGACCAGGCCCCATTGTCTTCATCGGCTCGCCTATGATGTGCGTCAATGGCCGTATGCGTAATTTCAAATCCATAAAATATTTGTAGGGTTCATTTCAAACAAATAAAAAGAAACCTTGAAATGGAGATATAAGAGAGAATGTAGAACATTTAATAAGAAAGAGGGAGGGATTGACCTCATCGTTAGAGGTGTTAGATGAACAACAACAATGGAGAGCAAAGTAGTTGCGACTTGCGACGGGGGAACACGATGGTTACAGGGCGAGGGGAGCAGAAGGAAAGAAAGAAGGGAAGGGAGAGCATAAATGTTTGGGGAAGAGATAGAGAGTGGGAGAGGAAATGGAAGAGTGGAGGAGACGAAGAATGAGGGAGGAGATGTTGTGGTGGCCTAGAGAAAGGGATTAGGTTTTATTTTAAGGTTAAAACTATAAAATAATAATTAATATAATAACACAAATAATATTTTTTAAAAAAGGTAAATTGGTCATTTAACATATCAAAAATAGTGGATGTTAAAGTAGGGATGAGTAGTTAGTACCAAATCTCGATCCGGTACTTGTATCGTACTGGAACTGGTACCGAATTTAAACATATTCGACGGTATTCGATACTCTAAAATCACGATATGCGAGATTCGGTACTGGTGCTAGACTGCTAGTACCAAAAATTGGTACCATTTTCGGTACCAGTACCGATAATGTTATGGGTCGTTTGATTTTCCTTCTAACTAAGTTAAAAGCTAGGACCTGGTCCCTATTCCCGAGTCAGCATGTTTGTTTCCATTCTGCATATCCTTGGACTTGGCCCAAACCAAGGACTCGGTCCCCATTTTTTTGTTGATTCGGTCCACATTGCTTTCCGTCTTGACACAATTTGTTCTTCATTTTGCTTCTGATCAGCCCCTCCCTTGGACTTGGTCCTTAGTCCATATGTTTGGTATTCCGTTTTGCTTATAACTCGGTTCAAACATTTAATCCAGTTAGCAACTATCAAACAACCCATTAGTTCCGTTAGGTACTTGGTATTGTTTTTCACCCATTTCCGTATTCGGGATTCTCAGTCGGAACCAGATCCATCTCATGCCCATCCTTATGTTAAAGTCATGGAACAAAAACTAAAACGAAACCTTATTAAAAGGATGAGATTTGCAAGTTAAAAACTTTTTTGATTCTTTAGAGAAAAAACAACAAATCTAATGGACATTTTGAAATTTCTCTTTTATTTCCATTGCTACGATTCATATAGTCGAAGTAACTACGAACTTCGAATTTAAGTAATAGCATTTTTGAATCATCAAAACACATATCCTAATTAAATATATATAGTTTAGGTTAATTTTTGTGTCTTTAATTTAATTAAATGGTTAGCGTATATTATGGCTTAAAATTATTGTTATCTGATCACTCCATTGTTTTTATCATCTATCCTCTATTTAAAGGACCTATCGGTGGTTAATATGTTCCAATAACTTTTTTTAATTTGATTTATCTATATCTATCTAAAAATATTTTCTAAAACCCTATCGTTAGTTAATTATTTTTTCAAACAAAAATCATATTTTAAACAATTAAAAAATATTACAATACATTATTTCAGCAAAAATGTATTACACTATTAATGTGTCATAATTATTAAAAAACTTAAAAATATTATACAATTTTTATAAATTTATATATTATATAAATAAAATTTCACTAAATATTTACTTGAAATAAATGATTAGTAAATAAATAAATAAAATATTTAAAACTAACATTTAATTGAAAAGGGAAAATAAAATATGATTAAAAAATGAGATGTTAGATATATAAGAGATTAAAGTACATCAACCATTTATTATATATAAATGATTAATAAAATATAAATAAATTATATATTCAAATGTGGTAAATAAAAATAATTAATAAATTTAATTTATAGAAAAAATTCAGATGCTAATAAAAAATATAATGGGAAAATTATGGAATTAAATAATATATATATATATATATATATATATATATATATATATATAGTCGATGTTTTTGCTAATTTCATACACAACCACGTTTAAGTAAAGCTGATTTGATAAACATGTAATCTACTTTTTATCATAGGAGTGTGAGTTGTTGATTTTTGCTTTAGCTGTGGATTGCATTCTGCTTTATGGGTTGTTCATCTGTTAGCATAGTTTAGTTCACATTGTATGTGTTTCATTATGCTTTATCTGATATATATTGATTCAATTACACATATGGGTTTCAAATGCTTCAACTGAATGGTATTTCTTCGTTTATAGTATTCTATCAGAAAATAATGTTTTTTATGATAATCATGAACATATTATGTTAGAATTCCTCGAATTAATATAATTATTGGTAAATGAATTCCAATTCGATCAGAATGGAATCACGAATTCCAATTATGTTGGAATGGAATATGAATATTTTCTCACTAATTTATTATTGG